TTCAAACTTCAAATATATGTTTCTGATCATCAACAACATCATATCTGACTGACAAGGTTTACAACTCTAGCACAAAAAAATATTAGAATAACACCACTTGATATTAAAATTTCATGTCAATATTTGAAATCTAGCGTCCATGTTTCCAGAATTATGTTTTCCTTACACCTTCAATTTTCCTTATTAATTCTTAAACATTGAATAATTTTTTATACCTTCATGGATTACTATAAGAATTAACATAAACATTCGTTATCAACACCTACATCATATGTAGTTAGATTCAGAGTCTATCGCCGGGTTTCCATAATAATCATTCGGAACTTGAATTTATTTGAAAATTTTTGATGTGTTTAGGTCAGGTATAGTGATGGGGCTATGTCCGGCGTCCGCAGTCGTGCGTCGTCAACAGTTGGGACGTTTATACCCTTACAGTCAAAGGTTTGACTGGAACATGATTACGCTTTGTAAGAATGTTTGCCACAATTAAATACAGGCCAAGTTGATTTCCAAGACAAATTCGAATATGGGTCAGCTCCGATCAAAAACTAGGTCACAAAAGCTAAAAAAGAAAAGAAAAGAAAGATTTCGTTAACACACTGGTGGCTGTATTGTTGATCCAAATATCCTGGAAATTAATAAACAAGGCTATTTTCATGATTTTCAGGTCAAGTTCGAATTTGGGTAATTTCGGATCAAAAAATAAAGTCACAAAGGACAAATCTTGATAAGACCCAAGTGGCTGCATTTTTCAACCAATTATTATGTTAATTATTCTTTGATGTTTACTAGATTAAGTTCGAATAAGGCTCATTTCGGGTCAAAAACTGGGTCACAGAAGCTCAAAATAGAACAATCTTCTTAAAACTTTAGTAGCTACAATTTTTATCCAAATATCCTGAATATACATAATCAAGATTGGTTTGATGATTTCTAGGTCAAGTTTCAAATTTAAGTATTTATGCTGCTGACCGTTCCAAGGCGGCGCCTCTCTTCGTTCCTTAGATGTATGTCTGTGTTGTTTTATACTGTTATGGTGACACTTTTGTGTCTCTTGTTGTTTCTCGTCTACGGTAAGTATTTCCCTTTGTCCCTAGTTTTTATTTATTTTATTTATTCCCCCACCCCTTCCCCGGGTCTCATGTCCCCTTCCCCTGTGCTTTTTTGACTTTATGGGCCTACTATTCAGTCATTTATTTGTTTTCTTTTAGTTCTTTATCAGTATTAATTGTTTATTCTTATGTAGTGGTTTGCCTGCCCGTGCTCTGCCTTGTGCCCTGTCCTGTTTTTGTTTGGGGTCCTCCTGGGCTCCTTGCCACTGACGTTTGTTACTGGGTCGGGTGGGGGCTGCTTTCATTGAACGCTGCCTTTCCTTGTCGATTTTGTTTGTCATATTTTGACTATGGGTCATCGCTGGTCCAAAACTATGTTAGAGGAGCTAAAAATCGAAAAAATATTGTTAACACGCTAATGGCTGTAGTTGTGATCCAAATATCCTGAAAATTGATCAAGAATGTTGTTTGATGATTTCTATGTCAAATTTGAGTATGGGTCATCCTCGGTCAAAAACTAGGTCACAGGAGCTCAAAATGGGAAAATCTTAAAAACACTTTAGTGGCTGCAGTTTTAATCCAAACATCAAGGAAATTAATCAGGTAGGTTGTTTTGATAATTTTTCTAGCTCAAATTTGAATATGGATTATCTCCGTTAAAAACTAGGTCACAGGAGCTAAAATTGAAAAATATTGTTAACACGCTAATGGCTGCAGTTTTTATCCAAATATCCTGGAAATTGGTCAAAAATGTTGTTTTGATGATTTCTAGGTCAGTTCTGAATATGGATCATTTCAGTTTAAAAACTAGGTCATACAGCCAAAATATAGAAGAAAAAAACTTGTTAACACTCTAGGGGCTACGGTTTCAGTCCAAATATCCTGAAAATTGGTCAGGAAAGTTGTTTTGCTGTTTTCTAAGTCAAGATTGTATATAATTAATTTTGGGTCAAAAGCTGGGTCACAGGAGCTAAAAATAGATAAATCTTAATAACACTCTCGGGGATACTGTTTCAGTCTAAATAATCGGGAAATTGGTCAAAAAGGTTGTTTTGAAGATTTCTTGTTCATGTTTAAATATGGGTCGTCTCCGGTCAAAAACTAGGTCACAGGAGCTAAAAAAGAAAAAAAAATATTGTTAATACCCTTATGACTGCAGTTTTTCCCATTATCCTGGAAATTTGTAAGGAAGATAGTTTTAATGATTCCTAGGTCAAGTACGAATATGGGTCATCTCGGGTCAAAAACTAGGTCACAATCCAAACCTTGTTAACACTCTAGGGGTAACTGTTTTTAGTCCAAATATCCTTGACATTGATCAGAAAAGTTGTTTTGATATTTTCTGAGTCAATTTCGAATATGGATAATCAAAAACTAGGTCACATTAGCTAAAAATAGAAAAATATTGTTATTACTCTTGCAGTTTAAATCCGAATATTTTGGAAATTGGCCAGGAAGATTGTTTAAGTGTTTCTATGTCAAGTTTGAATATTGTTTATCTCGCGTCAAAAATAAGGTCACACAACCCATATATGGAAAATCCTTATTATCACTCTAGGGGCTACTTTTGCAGCCTGGGGTGTCCGTTGCCGAGTGGTTAATGTCGTTGACTTCAAACCATTTGCCCCTTACCTCTTTGTTTTCGAATCCAGACAAGGATTTTGGATTATTTCATGTAAGTCAGCTATTCAGCTAGCTTACGGAACGTCAATTATTCTACTCAGGTGCCCGTCCGTGGCTGAAATAATGCACGGAGGGGCACCTGAGGTATTCCTCCATCAGTAAAGCTGGAACGTCGCCATATGACCTATACTGTGTGGGTGCAACGTAAAACCCAATCAAACAAACATACTTTTTCAGCCCGAATATCCTGAAAATTGTTCAAAAAAGTTGTTTTGGTGATTTCATTCGAATATGGTCATCTCAGGACGAAAAGAGTCACACTGCTCTAATTAAACCTTGTAAACCCTCTAGGGAATACTGTTTAATGTAAAATTATCTTGGAATTTGGTCAGAAAAGTTTTGATGTTTCTAGGTCAAGTTTGAATATAGGTCATCATTGGTCAATAACTAGGTCACACAGCCCAAATAAAATGGGATTGAATCTTCATAGTCAGGTGAGTGACATGAGAGTCATCATGGCCCTGTTATTTTAAGCTCACCTTAGCTAGTTCATGTTGAGCCTTTAAGATTATTGAATGTCCGTTGTCCATCCCATTTGTTCGTTGTTGGTCTCATTTTTGCCTCAACCACTATTAAAGTTTGTCCGGATTCTTGTCTAGGTTACTGATCGGATGAGTTCGAACATGGGTCATTTCGGGTTAAAAACTAGATCACAGGAGCTAAAAATAGAAAAATGGTGTTAACACTTTAGTGGCTACTATTTTAACCCAAATATCTTGTAATTGGTCTGAAAGTTTGTTTTGATAATTATTAGGTCAAGTTCAAATATGGGCCACCTGGGTTAAAAACTATGACACATTGCCAAAATATGCAAAAACATGTTAGTTTTGTCTCAGTTGTCATCAAACTTGGTCAGGATGCATTTCTAGGTAATTGCTGAGATGAGCTCGAAGATGGGTTATCTCTGATAAAAAAAAACTAGGTCACAGGAGCTAAAAAAATATCTTTTCTACTCTTTGGTGGCTACTGTTTTTATCCAAATATCCGGGAAATTCGACAGCATGTTTGTTTTGATGATTTCTAGGTCAAGGTCGAATATGGGTCGCCTCTGGATCAAAACCTAGGTCACACTGCCCAAATATGGAAAACACTTGTTAAGTGATCACAATTTTGTCTCATATGTCATCAAGTTTGATCAGGATGCTTGTCTAAGTAATTGCACGGATGGGTTTGATGGGTCAGGTGAGCTTTCTAAAGACATCTTGGTCCTCTTGTTTATTTGTTTCTTGATTGCTATAAATGGTATATATATGAACATTTTTATTTCTTTACTTTTTTATTTGTGGCTTCAATTGGGGTCTTCTTCAAACATAAGATTGTTGTTCTTTGTTCGACTCATATCATGTATGACAATGTTCACAAGTCTAGCATTTTTATTTCAAAAGATTTACCCTCAGAATATATGTCAGTTCATCTGTCTGTCCGTTACTAACAACTCTTTCCTGACATAATCTTTAAAGAATTTGGAACTTTCACAACAAACTTTCTAAAATATAGAGAGAAGTTGAAACAATAAGTTAATCATATTTTTCTTGAGAAAATTTGTCCTTCCGATTATCTGTTGCATAATATATAAATTCTTTACTAGGCAGTGAAACTTAACATATTTCTAAGATAAAGACATACTAAGAACTCCAAAGATTTAAATTCATTCATGTTATTTATTCATTCATTCATTCATTCATTCATTCATTCATTCATTCATTCATTCATTCATTCATTCATTCATTTATTCAATCATTCATTCATACATTCATTCAATTGGCATAATTGAATGGCCAATGGCCCTTCAGAATGTTTCTTGGGTTCTCAAAGGTAGGGGACTTAAGTATTGTTTGCAATACTTTGATAATTGATTGTATATTCTCTTTAAAAATTGTTACTGATACAGATTACTGATTACTAAAACATTACTATTTCATATTATTTATTTTTTTTGTAAAGGTATTTTTTCCAACAATTTCTTCTAAGTAAAGAATTTCAGAATTAACACCTTTTGTAAAGATTATCCAACCTCCCGTTTCTTAATGTACTAACTTTTAAAAATCAACTATTCTTTTGAATTATCAAAGACAGTTGTTATTATTTCCGTTGTTAAGTGGTTTCAAAAAAACCATTCCAGTTTGATTTGCCGTGTTGTGAAATGTTTGTAAATTTTGTTCATGAACAATTTATTGAATAAATAAAGTTTAAACTAAAGAAGGGGCGAGTGTGTTACAGTGTCATTTAACCAAATTGATTTTGTTACGAATGGTAATTATCACGATACACCGGTTGGTTGTTGGCTTTTATTCACTGCATTCCCTCCCTTCTTCCAGACATTGTATTGTACCACTCTCTTTACAAGATATTTGTCAGGTATGTATCTTATTTATTTACTTAATCAAACTGTAAAAAAAAAATATTTTTAATTTAGTAATTTGAGTTTGATAGGCATAAGACAATATTAGATTTACATGGTACCTTTGTATCTTTACAATATGTTTTATTTATAGCAGGGGCATCGGGATTGCCTAATTTACAAACCGTTTATGATATATAATTTTTTTACCGAAATAATCTGCACCCAATTGTATGCATGTTGGTTAAATCAACCATGGGTTTAACTCTAACCTTAAGTTAAATTTTAACAAACTTTGCTTAACTAAGCAACTGGTTAGTCGCTTGTATAAACCGAGGCAACGAACATTTATGCTACTGGGTGCTGATGAATTGTAAGCTAAATAAATTATGATATTTAAGCAAATACAAATCACAAAAATATCTTTTTGTACTTTTCATATCAGAGTAAGTTAAGCGGAAAATGTAGCTTTTACGGTGTATATCAAATTATATATTTTATTTATACGTTTAACCGGCTCATATTTCTTGCACAGTAGTGAAAAGCAGTGTGCTCATATTACGTATTCGGATGTATGTATACAGAAGTGCAATCATTTGAAAACATTTGGTCTTATTGTTCTTTTTCACATGTGACTTGTGATTGTTTCAAGGGGTATGATTTCGCCGATTTTAGACTCATTTTACTCAATGACCTAGAAATGCGTTTAAGATTTAATAATTTCTCAGGTGTAAACTAAGATCATATAAGCATAAACCTTACTTTATTTGTCGACGATTGACTTTTCTTTGGATTGATCTCGCACTTAGATTTTATGATATGACTACAAGTATAGTAGGCATTGGAAATTTGCGGTAAATACGAACAAAACGGATATCTATGTATTTAAAAAGTGAGATCAATTAAATAATCATACTTTGAATAAAGTAATTATTGACAGTTTATTCAGACGTGGTATAATCGTATTCTCTGTCCGGCAATGGATTGAAGGCTGTAAACTCCTGCACACGTTAACAAAGAGTATGGAAATACCGTGAAAATGTAACTAGATTTATTTGACGCATTACTATGTAACTGTTTATTTACATGAATATGTTCTTTATATATGCAGACACTCTAAGTTCAAAGATAATTATTAAAAATCTTATTTATTATCTTGACATGAACGCAAAACTTTATTTTATACTATTGACGGGAGATAATTAAGTCAGAGTTCTCTATGATGCGTCATTGTCCAGAGTAAGGCAGTTTTTATCCAAGGTTCATAAATAACATAACATAAGTGTTGGGTCCACAAGTTAATTCTGCACGCCAAAGATCTAAACTCTGGACATATCAGTTTTACAAAGAAGAATAGACTGTATTTTTCTACAAAAGTATGTGTAAACTGAGAAATCCTTGCCATTTTTTATCCCGGGACTATTATTTGAACAAAACATCAAAGGTTACTTAAGCCTCCCTAGTATAACAAAAGAAGATTTTTGTACTATATACATATAAGAGAAATCAATGACCAACAAGGGCTGGGCCGATTTTTAGCTTGTCTATTCTGTTCAATAACCTTTCAATAGCGTCAATTGCTGATTTTTGCCTATTGAATACCAGCTTTTTTGATTAAAATATTTATTTTTGTCATCAATGTCTGAAATAAAAAGCTAGGAAACGGGTTGAAAAAGTAAATATAAGTCAAACAAATTAATTGAAATAAAAACAGAATTAATCAATCATAATTGTTGAATGTAATTGAATGTAAGTCTCCTATCGCTTTAACCGGGGGGTGGGGACTGGAGATTTACCGTCCGTCCGCCAGTATGTCACTCCGTCCACAAAATTCGACCCCGTGACATGGCAAAAAGTAAAAAATATATTTCTTTAAACTTGAAATATTGGTAGATGGCAGTCTAAAGATACAGCTCATTCATTAATTTCTTTCTAGGTTGAAAAGTTTGGTTGCTATAGCAAGGAATAGTCTTAAAGTATGGCATATATACACAAAAACTGGATCCCTTGATAACGCAAAGTACTGAAAATATCTTTCTTAAACTTAAAACATAGATAGAAGGCATTTCTTCCAATGTTGAATATTGAAAAAACGGTTGCTATGGTACGAAAAAGACTTAAAATATGCAAATCTAAGAATATTTGTGATAACTCAAAAAGTACTGAAAAGATTTTATGTAACTTGAAATATTGAGGGCAGTGTGGAAAATTATTTCAACTTGAATAGAAGGAGTAAATTGTGAGCTGCCCTTCTCACCTAGCTTTTGCGACCGCGTTCGACTTTCCTGATTTAAGTTTAAGTAGTTCTTTTTCACGATATCTTTATTTCCTCATGTATTTACTTGAATCTCGATATATTATATATATGTTTTTTATCATCGACACCAAAAATATCAGAATAACCCCTTAGAATTTAAAATTTTCATGATAATGATGTTGTTGTTTTATAACTTTTTTATTCTTTAATTTATCTTCTTTAAACTTCAAAATATGTGTCTTATCATCACCCACATCATACGTGACAAGATTCGTAATTCTGGCACCTTTAATATTAGAATTATCATCCTTGAACTAGAATTTTCATTTGTTTGGTTTCTCTTATTTCTTTTTTTCTTCGGTATCTTCTTTGTAACAGTAAATGGTATAAATTTGAAAAATTATTCTTTTTTATTATATTTTCCTCTTTCTCACTATAAATGGTATCTACTTAAACAATAAGAAGAGTGTTCTTTGTCATTACTTACATCATGAACGAAAATGTTCATAAGTCTAGCATGTCTATTTTTTAGAGTTATCTCCTCTTTAGTTTAAGAAGTTTGCTTTTCCAAATGTTATATTCTGGTTATCACTAGGAATGTTTAAAGATTTGGCGTCTGTCTATCAGTCCGTCTATCTAGCCGTTTCCCGAGACCACTTTTTAAAGAACATGGAACTTTTAAAACAAATTTACTTAAAATAGAGAAAAAGTTAAAACATGAGTTAAACAAAACATTAACTGGGATTGGAAAATAGATGGTGTTAACATATAGGTAGAACAAATGTATCTACATTTATTACACATTTAATTCCACATACATTAAAATAAAGGCAAAAAACTGGTTGTTTGTTCATTTTCTCCTAACTTGATCATCGTACGGTTGGAAATTACATTACATTGTTGCTTGTAGTTTTGCGTAGTGTCGGAACTGCGGACTGAATTTATTGATCGAGGTATTTTTTTTCTTTCAAAACATTCTTTTATAATGTCATTTATGCTTACTTGAAAGACCTATTGCAGCCTTCGCAGCAACACGTGTCTCTTATACCTTAAGCTCCTCCTTAAGCTATTATTTTTCTCAAACATAAGAATATTATTTCTGGAACTTTGCAAGCAATTTCATCAGACATCAAATCTTTCCTATATCAACATGTTCTTCATTTGCAAATTAAATTTGACCATAGTTATTATCATCAACAGTTATATTCCAGATTAGAGACTTAAGTACGAGAGTGATTCAATAAGCACTGTCACCGGGTATAAATTGTGTAATTGTCCCGTTTTGTAGACATATTTTCTTTTCAAACCTTCAAAGGAAAATTCTATCATCTAATCTCTTTGTCGAAAAATTGTTGAAAGCTGATCAAGTGCGATGCTTTAAGAACTCTTGGACGTTTTTTGTTTACCAGAAAGCAAATTTTCTAATCCTGGGAAACAGTCCCAGACACTTACGTTAGAAGAATAGGGCGGATGGTTTGCAAATTGAACGTTTTAGACGCAAATAATACTTCTTACTGTAAAACATCTTCACTTTTTCCAGTTCGAACTTTTTGTAGAAATATCCAGTGAATGTGTAACTAGACGGACAAGGCACTTGGACCACTTGTTAACTGGAATTAAGAAATCTCGCATACAACATCTTCTTTTTTGGCAATACAGTGACGTTTTATCTCTTCGGAGTGTTTATAATCGGCACTTCAATGAGGATCAAACATATCCACCCAAATCTATAACCTGTCAGCAAGGTAGAAAAACCTATCATCAGTTTGTTTGTTTTCAGGGGTTTTTGGAGTTAGACGATGGAGATATATTTGAATCAGAAACTATGCCCTTAAGAGCAAATTAATTCAATTACATTCAAACATGAAAAATTGCATACCGACACAAAGTTCTTTATCATTCACCTTAAAATATATAGTTTTAATATATGGAACTTACGATAAAATGTATATTGACAAATAATCAGCTTCAAATGTCATTATTTAGTAAGATATTATGCTTCCATTGTATATGTACATGAAACAAATTCTATATTTTATTCTATATGGTGAAATGTAGATCATTAATCTGGTAATTTCAATGAAGTCATTTGCATTCAACTTTTAGAAGACAAAGCAAGGTCAATTAGTATATACCTAAACAATCTAGCTTATCAATTTGAACACAATGTCAACAAAGGTTCCAAAGGGCTTATCATTCAGCGTGATAAAGTATCAAATATTTATGCAATTTTAACGAATCACTTTACGCGGTTTCTAGCATAATGAGTTTACCATTTTTTTCAACAACTATATCCTTATGAATAAGTAAACTGCAAACAATCACTTTCTGTCTGATCACTTGGCTACTTTAAATTATGATTTTGCTTCTTTGTCTGTTCACATTATGCTGATGTCGGCGAGTATATATTTCCATAAATAGCCACTTTTAGCAAATTGCAATTCAATTTTTTATAAAGAAGAAATGAAAATGTCCTTATACACATCAGTATAACTAACTAGTCTTAATAACAAATTGAATTAATTTCTTACATTTGTTGTTTACTAATTCACCATTTTACATTTATATGATTGTTTATAACCCCACAGTACAGCTCAATATTGTTGTCAAGACATAGTATGACTTAGCTGCAAATGACGCAATGGCGACGGTAAACCTTTTCAAATTTGTCTGTTTTTTAAATTGTCTTTACAACTTTTAACAACTAGTTATTCCTATTAATTGAACTTATATATTATTTTCATCTCTTATTAATGAACACAATTCATCTTCGGAATTAATATTATTACAAATATTGACGTTTTATCATTTAATTTATTTTGTTGATTCTGAATCAAAGCGATTTATGTTTACATTGTCAGTATCGTTAACAAATCTCTTCAAATGAATTATTAAACAGAAATCTCAATATCTAAAGCAGCATAGATCTTATATTTTAAATCATATTACAGAAAATAAAGAAAAATGAATGTTTAACCAGAGGGCACGAACACTATCTCAGTCACATATTATTACTGGGAAAAGTTTCGCCCGTCGCGCTAAAGGCCATTATAAAACGTGAAGAGAAAAGGAGCGGAAAAGATATTGCTAAACTGTTAAATGAGAAAAAGGATTCATTAAAATCAAAGTTCAAAGCAGAATACTTACAACTCTTTCAAGGTGATAAAATAAATAAAGATATTGACTCTTGGGACACTCGCCAACTTTGCGCTGTATTACTGACCGTGTTTAAATCAACATTGGCTACTTCTGAACTTGAAGCAATAAAATGTATATTTTGCCTTAGAAAAGATGTTGAAAAGTACGCTAATCGTGCCTCATTAACTTTCAAAACTTACACGGCAAAACAAAGCTTACTTAAACCACATTTACTGAAGTTGATCGAACATATAGACGAAAAGGCTGATCATAAGTGTAAACAGATGATTTATTCATTTGAACCAGAGTCCATGAATATAAGTGAAGGATTGATTGCCAAATTAAAACTAAATACAGATGTAAATTGCCATCTGCGCATTGCAATGGAGGAAAATATCGCGCCATACAATGCCACGGAAGATCAATTGCTATCGACAACTGGTATGTGTTTTTTCTCCTTATATAAAAAAGGTTATTTAATTGTTTGAAAATGTGTCATAAATGTGAAAAGCATATCATATAAGAGGTCAAATACAAATAATTATGCATATACAGGACAGGATATTCAAAAGTTTTCATATTTTTGATTCGATCATGCTTCAGGTTTGTTGACCCTTACGTAGATGGAAGTAAGAAATATATTATCATTGTGATCCAAAAGCAAAATGTAAATGCACAATAAAGTATCCTGTATTAAATATGGTGGCTTATATTTCCGTGGTACTTAACTTTTAAACAAACAACAAAAATCAGAAGAAACAAATTCTGGAAAATATGTTGAATATTGTAGTTGAAAAAAATCACCAGACGAGAAGATTATTGGATGCGGAAATGTTATAATTCGAAGGTTTTTTTTATTATTATCTATTTAATATAACACCGTGCGTGAGATAATCATAGGGTTTGTATGTGATTTAGAAATTTTACTGAGGCTGTTACTTAATCAAAATTATAATCTGATATGATTCCCTACCGCTACCCCCATCCTCCATCCAGTCCCTGCTACAACCCTAGAAGATATATATCTAATATCTAATATATATCTAAATCAATTTCCAAATTTAGTATTCATAACAACAATAATATGACACTATGACGCAATTTTCATATTACCTCTAAAGTATTAATTATACATGGGTAGCATCTTTCACGCCGTTTCAGTGTTTTGATTCTACCCAAGTTTACATTCAATGTCAGAACTCATCAGCCAAATCTATATATATTTTTTAAAACTTGGTCTCGATCAATTCAGTACAAATATACATATATGTATGCAATGGCATTTTCCATATAAAGCAGTATTAAGTATTTTGGTCCATACGAACCCCAAAACAGCCGATTACTTTAAATTTGCCACGACGTAATTCACATGAACATTCATTTTTAAGAATCGCCTTTGAGTTTGAAAAATCAAAATTATCGATTTCACTCATCGAAGAAATTCCCGTCCAAATCTATTTTATACCGAAGCTACAAGAAGAATTGCAAAACGGAAATGATCTGCTTCACTCATTTCACCATACTCAATATTTATAGTCTCAAAGATCGTCGCTCTAGAACATAATAAGAACATTCCGGTGACGGCGAAATAAGTGCTGAGATAATCACACGTACGGTCTTATATGCACTCCAAATAACTTGAATTATATAGATAATAATTATCAGTGATGTGGGTACGTAAATCAACAAACTTATATGCTGTATATGTGGAGATTGGTAGAGTCCCTTAAAATATATCTTGGAAAGTATCTATTTTAAGATATTCAAGAAAACTTATTTCTCTTGTCTACTTTATAACATATCGTGTTCTCAAATTTGACGCGGATAATAACGTTACATATAGAAACAAAAATTTGGCTTCACGTGTAAAAAAATATGCAGGGCATGGTTTCGGATACGTATGGCATAATCAAGATCTGGATAAAGTCTCGTTTGATATGATAAATCAAAGAATCCTGAAGTGTTATAAGTAGTCATGGTACGCAGGTATTAATAGTAATCCGCTTTTACAAAGCTATAGTCTATCTTAACACACTTTTGAACGCGACAAGTAAAGAGAACTGAGAAACAATCAATAAAAATGCTATTAACATTCCCATGTTTTTTTTGTTGTTTTGTTTTTGTTTTATATATACATGTATATTTATATATGTTTTTAATATATATTTAATGATACATGTAACTCGATATATGGGCTTACCACAGGCACACACGTTTTTACTGAAACTCTCCGAGATAAGAAGGTTTACGCCAATGATTCAGCTGTTCTGAAATGCAAACTCCATCATTCAGCAGAAAGGACAGTGGAATGGAAGAAAGATTGGAAGCCGGCCGAAATTTCAGACAATTTGATATATATAAACAACAAATGCACCCACTGGTTAGCAATAGAACGCGCGACATTGGAAGACTCTGGCCGATATTCGTGTGTGTGTGGAAATTTTTCAACATCAGCAGATCTAACTGTTATAGGTATTTATAGTTTTTTTTTAAGTTTCTTTTTTTATCAGGAAAATTATATGAATGTGCTATCTTACGCCCTCCTATACCATTAATTTAACAAAATATAAAGCTGACCAAACAGTTAGTGTTTATACATTATATAAACATCAAGTAAAGTCATAATATTTATCATAGAATCAAAATGCATTGACAAAGGAACTTTTTTTCAGAAGAAATCTTTATTATGTTCCAAAAGAGCTTCAAAACTATTTTCCGAACTCAGCTTCACAGGGGGTTGTTTTTCAAAAACATATTGTGATATCTTTACTAACGAATTATCTTGGGCCTTCCTATTTATTGAATAACTTCATTTTATCACCAGACGTTCATACTCGCAATTTGCGTTCATCGTCTGATTTTTAAGATTATATCCTTAACCAAATACTGAGCAATATTAATTGTTAGTTTTTTCTTACTCCTAATCTTGTATTTGGAATAGTCTTTCTCACTTTATCAAGTTTACTAAATATGTTAATCATTTTAAAATATTATACTTGAGATGCTACCACACACCGATGTAAGCTCTATTAGTTCCAAATCAATACTTCAAATTGATAGCTTGCAAGTTGTCTTCGAAATCTCATGTATGTTACATTTATGAATAGCAGTTAGGACAATTTAAGGTATGACCATCCTATACCTCTGCTTTGAAGAGTATTCAAATAGGCTAGAGATACTGTTAGATACATTGAAAGTTAGGGCCTCGAATTCACACTCCAGATGAATCACATTTTTCTCTTCCTTTCTTTTCCTTTTAACTTTATTTATGTATCTCTCATATCCGTTTCGAGAATAAAAATTTGTTTCATTTTAATTATTAAATTTATATAGGTATTTATTGGCTAAATCTAATAACACATTATTATGGTACCTGATATTTTCAAAATGTAATAATATACATATTTCATTAAAGTTTGGGTAGAAACAAGCCTTTCTCTTATTTGGATTGATAGCGGAATGTTACTATTTCTTTCTTATGAAACAATTAATGCGAAGACATTTTTCATATGGATGATATTGTAGATTATTTAAAGGTTCCTTATTTCTGAAAAAGGGCCCTTCTAACATCAAAACTAAAGTTTAGAAAAGTTGCCAAAACTCGATTTCGGTACGGTAAAGTGTGTTTAACTTTTGAATACAGGTGTCCTTTAAAGCCCCCGTCACATTAGAACTTACGACCAGTAAAGACAAGTTCATGCTCGCCCATATGGTCTCTTTCCGGTGGCGAGGGTAAAGCCCCAGTCACATTAGAGCTTACGACCAGTGAAGACCAGTTCACGATCACCAGTGACCTCTGGTCGCGGACAATCTTTAAAACGTCTTACGACGGTCATCGGTGATCTTTGACAGTCGCAGGTTATCTTATTTAGGTCCCACGACCAATTTCAGTCGTAGAGAGGTTTTTGAGCTTGCACAAAAACCTCCTTGCGATCAAACAGGTCGCTAGTGATCTTATAAGGTCTTAAGGCTGTCGCACGATGGTCGTTCGGAAGTGCGACAATCTTACGACAGTCTTTACAAATTGCCACTAGTCACTGATAATCTTAAGAAGTCTTTAGTAATCGTGTGATGGTCGTACGACAAGTTGTAGGTGATCGCATGTTATGTCACGGGTAGTCGTAAGTAATCCCAGGCAATCTTGAGACCATCGTACGTTTACTTATGACCTGTCGTGCGATTGTCAATGATGACTGGTCTTACGATAGTCGCAAAAGTAAATTTATCTGTGCAAAATTGGTTTTGGTCGCAGACAATTGCTGATGATCGTCAGTTTTACAAGTTGCCGGTGGTCGCAAGTAATCGTAAGCTCTAGTGTGACTGGGTTTTAAACAAACACAAACACACACAAAAGACCAGTTCACGATCACCAGTGACCTTTGGTCGCAGATAATCTTTTAAACGTCTTACGACGGTCATCGGTGATCTTTGACAGTCGCAGGTTATCTTATTTAGGTCCCACGACCAATTTCAGCCGTAGAGATGTTGTTGAGCTTGCACAACAACCTCCCTGCAATCAAACAGGTCGCTTGTGATCTTTTAAGGTCTTAGGCTGTCGCACGATGGTCGTTAGGAAGTGCGACAATCTTACGACAGTCTATACAAATTGCCACTAGTCACTGATAATCTTGAGTAGTGTTTAGTAATCGTGTGATAATCGTACGACAAGTTGTAGATGATCGCATGACAGGTCACGGGTAATCGTAAGTAATCCAACTCAATCTTTAGACCATCGTACGTTTGCTTATGACCTGCCGTGCGATTGTCAATGATGACTTGTGTCACATTGAAGGTTCCATGATAACCGCAGTATGAACACATCTGCGGATGTTTCTAAACTCAAAATTTTACTATTTCACGTTAAAATGTTGAATTCTGCTTAAGCCGGTGCTAGGGGGCGTGGACGGTAGTTTGCACTTTACAGTACCGTTCATGAAAAGGCTCAATCAAACCGAGCCTGCAACATTTTTAATTTTGCCGTGCTGGGCTTTCTTTAGGGATTCTGTATTTATATATTTTATGGTCACATCCGTGTTACTTGTGCCGTGTGGCGGCTGTAAAAAGTATCCCCGTACATTTAATCAATGATGTTATATTTTCGATCCTTGAAGATCGTTCAGCACGACATTATTGTTGTGCTTGTGGTATTTTTAGTTTCAACTTTTCGGCATTTTTTAGTTGGGTGGTTCCAATATTCCTACTTGAATAATGTTCAATCACCCTTAGGATATGTTGCCTGCTTTTTAAATTTGTATTTTGACGTTTTATCTATGATACGCAGGCTTCATAACCTCTGATCCCCTTTCAAAATTCCATTTTATTTAGTTCCGCCCATTGTTTTCTCGTTTAGGGCACACGCTTTTTATTACTTGGGGACCATACGCCGCTTTTCATGGAATGGCACGGAAGTGTCACATTGAAGGTTCCATGATAACCGCCGTATGAACACATCTGCGGATGTTTCTAAATCAAAATTTTACTATTTCACGTTTAAATGTTGAATTCTGCTTAAGCCGGTGCTAGGGGGCGTGGACGGTAGTTTGCACTTTACAGTACCGTCCATGAACAGGCTCAATCAAACCGAGCCTGCAACATTTTCAATTTTGCCGTGCTGGGCTTTCTTTGGGTATTCTGTATTTATCTCTTTTTTTTGTCTTACGATAGTCGCAGAAGTAAATTTATCTGTGCAAAAATAGTTTTGGTCGCAGACAATCGCTGATGATCGTCAGTTATAAAAATCGCCGGTGGTCGCAAGTAATCGTAACCTCTAGCGTGACTGGGGTTTAAGGTATATGTCTGACCTATTTTGTCAATATTTCAGTTTCTTATAGGGCCCGTTCATATTGTTTTATGTCGATGGCTTTATGAAATATTGCTTTGTTGTTCAAATTAGTTCCCTCTTTTATAGAATCTTTATTATTTTTATTACATGTATTATTATTATTATTATTATTCAATGTATGGGATTTTATAAACCATTATGTGGCTTAATTGATATATTTTTTGTAAAGATATTATATAGCTTCACGTTAAAAGTGTTTGTAATATGTACTTCGGCTTAATCTCGAGTATTTCTACATTATCCGTTACTATAGGCAATTGAAATGTTTCAATTTTCTCCGCCTTTATCAATTTTTGTAATTGGTAATTTGACGACTTCTAATTCGATAAAGCGCAGTTTGCAGCAGTATGCAATCATTATACAAATGTGTTTGAAGGACACCGTACTGCGTGAAGACCGATGTTTCAACAAGGTCTATATAATTGAGATTGTTGGAAATAGTTGCAGGCATGTCAAAGTCTCTTTGAAAATGGATGACAGATATTTGCTTTTGTTTGCCGAAGATTCATTCTCATTGATGTTCCATGTCAGGAAAGTTATTTAGGCGGCGGTCGCTTCCTTTGTCGCCCTTACAAAAATGATTTTAATAAAGTTCATTCGTCAAAATTGCACGTTTCATTTATTCCAGACAGTTCTTCATGACAATAAAAATATTTATAATTCAGATGGAGAGATGGAAGGCGATTTATACTTTTTATTCTCACTCTAGGAATTATTTCTTTAGGATGAAAACAGGTCAGCTGAAAGTCTTGCAAAAATACTCTTTTTTATATTCTGACTAACTCACTCTTCTATATGTATATATAACGATATGCTACCGTACTATTCAGCGCATTAGTTATTTCTGGCTAGATTAATGGGTTCATGCGCATTAGAAACAAATTAAACTAGAATATTGCAGTATTTCTTTATGAGATGCCACGCTCACATAGCAAGTAAATAAATGCACTACCGTTACTTTAGACAAAAAAGTGAACAATAGTGGAACATTCGAAAAGGAGATTATGAAAAACCATGGTGCTCTCGTAAGAATTATAAGCTTGTGTTCAATCAAACGATGAAATAATTTTATTCCAACCTTAGCCACAGCGGTTCCAAAATCAATCTCAACCAGGGTCTTTTTTTAAGCTTGCTTTATACCAAGTGTGCTTAACATATCTCATTACTAACCCTTCTTATTGTCCGGAAACCATATTTCTATTTTTAGTGATATGGACCTTGACCTTACCCCGGGGGGTCCAAAAGCAATCCCAGTCGGGGTTTTTACATATGGTCTCTATTTACCAAGTTTGATTACAATAGCTCACTCCTAAGCCTTGCTAATGTCCGGATAAGTTTTATCGACAGTCAAGGGGGTCTAAAAGAAATCCCAACCAGGGTCTTTATAAAAGCTTTCTATATACCAAGTGTGATTACACTATCGCATTCCTAACTTTAGTTTTTGTCCGAAAATCAATTTTCGTTCTTAAAGTAAAAGAAACCCAGGGGGGTTTAAAAGCAATTCCAACCGAGGTCTTCATATCAGGTTATTATACACAAAGTTTGAGGACACTAACTTATTCCAAACTCTAGTTATCGTCTGGAAACCATGAAGTGAACCAACCGAGCTGACTTCCTTAACCTCGTTTGTTAACAACAACAATTATGACAATGATCTATGTATTATGAACTTTGTGTAAAAACTGACCAGTGCTGTCAAGAAAAAAACTCAGATTATGTCCACAACACAAAACTTTTGGCAAAAATGAGGTGTAGAAATTGTTTGAATTTTAAATATTTTCTTTTATACAGTATATAACAGTAAATACAGTAAATGAGATCACAAAATAGGGATTTTATAATGTTCGATGGAGTTAAATCACACAAGTGGTTTATTAAATAAATACATCCATGCATTAGGCCAGTGAGTTTTATAGAAGTTAAGTGAATAATTGTTGGAGAAAATCAAACCTTGTGTGTGTTTGTTGTTGTTTATTTTTACAAAATGTTGGTATACATAGACACTCGTGTCTTCCATAACGGCATAATTAAATGACCATAGCCCTACAGAATGTTTCTAGGCTTCTAACCGCTTTTGGACTTTTGTATCGCTTGCACAACTTTGATAATTTCTTGTTTTCGTTTGCTTTACACGTTTAGAAATTAAAATTTCCAGATTAAAATTGGTTTCGGTAACCATTAATTGAATTATTTCATTATATTTATTGATTTTAATATTCATTTGATTGTGGAAGACACATTTAAAATATTTGCTTAATTATTGTGCGTAAATGGTGCGTAAAATATTGGAATAAAAACAACACGGACAGCAACATACCCGAATTTAGTATCCGACAATATTTTGCGTACCGAGAAGGCACTCAGCAGGGCATTGAGGAGGCATCACGTTGTGGCAGATATTCGAGAGAAAGTGGAGGACAATCAATGTGGAATCGATGTGAATTTCATTTTCTAGTTCAACCCAATATCTCCAACACTTTTTCAAAATCAAACAGGCAATGATCATAAAACATAGACATCATATTTTCCTTTTTATCGTTTTGTTTATTTTCACACATAAACGTATTTATTTATTCTGACATATATCTGATCGAGCATCGTTCTAGCAATGCTACAAGGACTTAATGTATTCACTTTTGATTTTGCGTCCTGTCCGGAAACATTAAAAAGAAGTTCTCTTTTAATAAATAGAAAATCATTGGATGCTGAATTGTCAATGGACACTGATAAGTAAGATAATTCAAACAAGACAACATCTATTATTTTATGTTAAATATACACTTTCTCTTAATATTTTGCAGATGAAACATTGGATGTTATCGTTGATTTGCATGTAACTTCAGATGTAATTGAGAATATGAACATTGATCTAGTGTGTAAGATGAATTTACTAACGTATAATCCAATTTGGCAACACAATGGGAAAGTTTTACAATCTTTTGGCAAATACATTATTATATCAACTGGAACTACGCATAAACTAACAATACTGAATGTAAACTTTCAAGATGAAGGTGAATACACACTAACATGTGGTAATGTCTCGTCTAAAATGACAGTGGCAATACAAGGTACAATAAAAACATGTATTTATAAGTGTGATAATTTTTTAACCCTGAAAACGATGAAACGATTTTAACTAAAAGCTTGCTAAAATACAAATTGTTATATTACTTAATTATCTATTGCATACCGTTTTATTTCAAGTGCCCCGGCTATGTAAGAAATTAAAACCAAATTTTATATTTTAGACAGTTAAACGTCGGTGGAGTTCCTTAAGAATTTAAGGTTAGCTTCATGTTTATAGAAACACTTTAGTTGATTCTGCACCACCACTAAAACTACTAGAAGAAATTTATCTTACAATATATATCATAATAATCATATTTAAGGTTTATTTTCCAGGACCTCAAGACCCTTTACTCAGAAAACAATTAGCAGATACATTATACAGAAATTGGATGAGGGGAGCTTTAGCATTAAAGTACTTAAAGATAGGTTTAGAAGGATTTTCTGACAAGGCGGTTCAGAAACATCACATAGATATTATGACATCTTTAAGGAACACATGTAATACATGTACAGAGGAAAGTCTTCTTCCACATAAAAAGGACCAATGTCCTTACCTAAAGAAACAACAATGTTTATGTTTCAAAAGTCAGAAACAAAACCAAAGGCATTTGTGTCCAAATGGAGGGTTTTGTGGTAAATTTTATGATAGAATTGTTCGTGATCATCGTTTTCAAGACCCGTTACTTGTGAACACAGATGTTCAGAAATGGAGCATTTATCCTTGGAGCGTTGCTACATGCTTTATAAATACTACTGGCTACAAAGACAAACAATCTGCTAAAGAAGTCGACTGCTCAGGCCTTCTTAGTTTGTGTATAAATAACATTTACATAGAAATGATGCTTGGAGATGTTATCATCGACGGAAAGTCAGATGCATTTGCACAGGTAAAATATTTACGGCACATATATATATATATATATATATATATATATATATATATATATATATATATATATATAAATATATATATATATATATATATATATATATATATATATATATATATATATCTGTTATAGAGCTGTGTGTGATCTTTTAGAAAATATACCAACACATAAGACAATAAGGTGTTATTTGACACAATTAAGCCATGTCTGTTGAACAAAAGCGTTGACAATAACTCTGTTCTATGCATTGTCAATGTCAATACATGTATACGGAACAATATGTTTTCAATTTTAATTCAGAGTCTTTCAAAATGAAGAAAGGTCCGGAATGCTATCTCCGCTCTTATTGCTGTCTGACAAGTTCTGAAAGTATCTGTGGACATGTTCCGGAATAAGTCTAATTGATCACAGATTTCTGTGTCTGCCTTTGTCGTTTTAGATATCAGGAGCCTGGATTCTTAATTTAAACTCCGAGCTTTATTTTGGTCGGCTTTTCGAGCGAAGAGCTAGGGTTATGCTGAATATTAACTCATAAAATCATTAGCGTTGAATAGATAGTTTACCAATAAAGTTTTGGGCTCCTCGTGTTGTACTCGGATCGATCGCACTTTCAGCCAGATAACTCTTGGTAGTTTTTGAACAAATGATTTGAGGTCAGCAACATAATACAAAGGGACTGAGCAATTTGAATTCTTTTTTCAATAGTGCTCTATTCTAAAGGAAACCAGATCATTGCTTTTATTGCTTGTATTTTTGCTGAATGTACAGATCTGAAGTACATTCAACCTGACCGTGTCCTGACAACAAAGATTTGTAGTTAATGCCCCCAATGTGAAATGCTGTACAAATATGATATAGCAACAAACTCGTTTCTTTTTTATCTCACCATTGAATTTCACCTACAGAACTAGATGAACATATTCTTCGTCATACATGTTGCGCACAAACAGCTTAAAAATAAATTTACCATATCTGGGTTAAAGACTGAAAGTTCCCCTTTCTAAATTACGAATTTTCCTCTTATCCTGCCTTCGATGTTATCGTGCTAGTCTGTAAGAGGTATATAATAATCTAAAGAGGCGCTTGCATTGCAAGCAGACAGTTTCTCTTCATATCCTATTTATTTCTTTTGTTGTTTTTTTTTTCTGTTAAAAAAAGATTCAAAATAACAGTTATTGCCGTTTCTCTATATGTCCTAAGATGAATATAACAACGCCACCTTTGTAAAAAATGATTCTGTTTTAGCTTTCATTTTATAACAATTGTAACTTTCAGAAATACTTTAATAAATAGCCTTGTTTTATTAAAATGAAATATACCTAATTCTAGCATTAAGATTTGCATGACTTTAATCAATATCCTGAGAACAAAATGTATGACAAATTATGAAATATATATATTTATAGTAACTAGTATATAATTGCATTTTATTTGTTTGTTTGGTTATTTTATGTAGTGCACTATTACTTACAAAAATTTTCAGTATTAAATTTCAGTATGAAATAATAAACATTCTCTTGATAATAAATAAAGTAAAAAATCAAATGTTGAAAATATTATCGAACAACAAATTGACGTAGATGATTTATATTACTTAAGGCTCGGGAAGCACGCAATGATATTATTCACAGTCCAAACTATGAGCTGTCTGAGTATCAGCTTTCGAAATATTTAAAGATGTTCAAAGAAGTTTTAATGATTAAAGACAAGTATGGAAATAAACCTCTGCAAGAGGAACCAGGTGTTGAGGACGCATTTCAGTCTATAGATATGGTAAGTTTACTGCTTGTAAATTGTCATACTCCTTATGTGTTAACCACACTTTTTGCATGCAGTTTCGTGATTTGTTATCCAACGGCAATATAATTGGAAAAAATAAACTGGAATGACATGTCCGTCCGTCACTACGAGGACTGGTCAGAATATATCCGGACTTTTGACTCGTTCTTGAAAACCATTCAACATTTTAAAAAAATCTTTCTGCTAGTTCTCAAAATATTCTCCACCTAAGTCTACGCATTTTGGCCAACTTTGTGGGAGCTTTTGTATTCCCGCAGTGAACCATGACGTAGACCTATGTTTAAGTTACTGTGTAACAGCCGATATCAAAGCCGCCCTGGTCTTATATTTCTTTCCAGCAAGCATTTTTTTCAGTTTTGGAAACAAATAAAAGTCACAGGGGGTGAGGTCCTGGCTATAAGGAGGGTGAGACAAAAATTGCCATTTGTAAGACTTGATAATCTCCCCTGTAGCTGCGGCGGTATGGAAGGGGTCGTTATCGTGAAGAAGGAGGACATTTTTCTGTGCAAACCTTGGACGCATTTGCTTCAGCTTATCTCTGAGATTTTTCAGAATTACTTTAGAATAGTACTTGGCGGTGACAGTTTGACCTTTTGGCATGAAATGAGTAAGTATCATTCCTCGTGCACCCCAAAAGGCAACAAGCATGACTTTGCCAGCCGAAGGAGACAGCTTAAACTTTTTAAGAGGTGGGGAACCAGCTCGTTTCAACTGCTTTGACTGAGCTTTTGTCTCCGGTTCGGAATAATGAACCCTCATCTCATCTCCAGTGATATTGCGGTTCAAAAACTTCTCTCCTTCACGATTAAAACGACATAAATGTTATTTTGCATTGGTTACTCTGGTTGACTTTTGATCTGCGGACAGCTGTCTAGGCACACACCTGGCACATACCTTGCTCATGCCTAGGTGTTCGTGTAAAATCTTGTGTGCCGATGCCTTACCGATGCTAAACTTGTTGGCTACCTCCTCCAAAAGTACTCGACGATTATTGTCGACAAAAGCTTTAACATTTCCTACCATTGTACGGGTCACCGCCTCAGCTGGTCGCCCAGTCCTAGGCCTGTGACAAACACTTGTTCTGCCTTCACGAAAGTGAGAAACCCAGTTGTAGAAGGTTGAACGTGATACACATGTATTAGAAAAAAACTTTTAAGCCTCTGAAAGATGTGGCAGAGCTTTTCACCTTCTGAAACCAGAAACTTTATTACAGAGCGTTGTTCCTCTAACAAAGAGTCCATGATAGACGAAACACCTATCATATATCAGAGGGCAAAATACTGTGTATACACAACTATCGTTGAAAACAAACTGACCACGTTATTGGCAAATGAATGTAGTTTTCACCAATATATAATGTGTGTATATAGCTGCACTAGGAAAGAGAGGATAATGAAAAGTCCGGATACTTTCTGACCGTCCCTCGTATGTCTGACTTACATTTCATAAATCAGAATGTTTTGAAACTTGGAAAAACGTATGAATATGTAAACAAATATGCGTAATTTAATGCAATCAAACACTATTTGGTTACGCTCCTTCGTGCGTTTTTTCGAGGCAATTTTACAAAAATACAAATTTCATGTACATAAGATGTTGTGAGCCTTAATTTAAAAAAAAAAGCAAAAAGAAAGACAAACATACGCGCAATATTTCCTGATCATATCCAACAACGCTACTAATAGTGATCTTCGAAATTTAAGTAAATTTTGCTTTGTGTCATTTCGTTGTATATGTACGCAAACAATTCTAGGAAAACACATTGTCTTCAAGTAAGTTTATTTCAGAAATTGAATAATAATAATAAAACAATAATACTTTATTACATGTGGGAAATAAATTAAATAAAGGTAGCAACACACACATTAATAAAGCCTAAGTCATTTAAAAGCTTTATGCATCCTGACAACACAAAAGGAAGATAATTCATTCCTCTAATTTATTCAACAATTTCATTATTTCACCGAGATGATCCTCTTAATAAATAATTTGAATTGAAATTTCTTCAGATATTACAAAAAAATTAATATACTTGACTGACAAAATTGTCATACTTTCTTAAAGCTACAGCAAAATCAGATAGAGTTACATTTTGAGGCTGAAATTAAAACTCTTGGAAAACATGGGTTGCAAGAATTACAAAGGGGATTTCAAAGGGCAAAGGAACAAGTAAGTTTCAAATTTCACTTACACTAGTAATAGTAAACTTAGATTTTCAAAAGTTTTAAAATTTAGTTATACATAAGAAAATAGCATTAGTATAAGGATTTTATCATAGACTGTAAAGTTTCTTTGTGTAATTTATTCATCTTCAAGTAGGATACACAAATGATTCAATTGTCCATTAGGCATATCAACTATTTCAAATTTCAGCTTGAACTGAAAGATCAACTGAGAGAAGAGCAATCAAAAGGTTTGCAATCTAGTGACTTTCATTTTATAAATTCCTGAATTAACAAAATATCTCAATATGAGCCTTGAAGATAATTAAAAATTCAGAAAAATTCAGAACATTCGCTTTAAATTACGTGATATCGATAACATGACAATTAAACAAAAATAAAAAATCAGCTATGTTAAGACATGTAAGAGGCACAAGGACGTGAATAAGTAATTTGGAATATATAATTGTTTCTGTTCAAAAGCACGAATGTAAATATCTTAGTTAAGAATGCAAGAATTTTTACACTATGTTTAATTATAAAAATTAGTGTGAGCCTGTGACAAACTTTGCTGTATTTCCGGGACAAACTTGTTGAAAGAGGATATTTGTGTTTGTTTTGCATGTAAGACTTTAATCTTACATGCAAAACAAATTTATTTTCTTTTTATTTCATTCTTTTACTTATTTTGCTGCATAACGTCGCGCATTCTCCTTTGTGACGTCATCACATCATGACGTCACATCATAAATTCTAAAATATAGTTCTGTTAAACTTTCCCTAATTTTGTTATATTTTTTCAACATGATGTATGATGACATGACTTTCTTTTCCTAAAGAAGCAAAATTTACGTAATGCAACACCTATTTCTGCCTGTTAGTCCATTTAGTTATGATGTTCTTTTCATCCGCATTCAGATATGGTCCGGCTACAGTGAAAATCATATTTTATAAACTTCACTAGTGGTTTATCAGAATATAATCATCTGGTATATTTCAGTAAAACACTGGAAAGCATGAAATAATATGTTATAATAGAGTTAAAACCACTTTAACAGATACAGTAACAATGTGATGGGCCTTTTCATTTACTCTTCTGTAATATATATAGATAATTAAGTAGCATAATGGTTACTGGTCAAATCAAGCGAAAACATGTTTGAATGCCATGAAACTAAATACCAAAATATGAAGGATTTAGAAAACGGCAAGTTAAATTATATCTTTGATTGTATAAATATTACAGATAAACGAAACGAGTTAGAGCTTTTGTTCAATCTAAGGTGTACAGAAAAGCAAATAAAACCTAAAGGTAATAATAGAATTACTTAATATACTAAGGTTTAAATAAATTGTGTATATTCCATTTTTGTAGGAGAAACAATTATCAAAATGTAATTTTAGATGAAATGCATGTTATTGTTTGATTCAAATCTAATCATTTGCAGTGTTAATAGTTATCTTATTTACTACACAAAGTTAGAGATATCTTGACATCGATACTTTTATCTTAAGCAAATGTTATAAATACTCCTTTTTTACAATAACTTAGATGACAAATTAGAAGAGATAAAATATAATTCAAATATTTGATGATCCAGCGGAAAGTACTTATTTTATTTAGAATTCAAAATTTTGAATTAAAATATTGCCACCCTGAATTTTTTAATTAAACTTAGCTTTTATGGCCACTTACCATGTTTCTAGTATGTTTGTTATTTCAGAGCCATTTATATTTCATCTGCATTTACAAATCATTGAAAACAATGGTGAACACTGTTTATCAGGGATTTTACGAGTTTTGAATGCGATTAGGTGCTACATAGAACACACCAATAATGGGTCTAGTGCGTCCTTTCATGAAGAGTCAACCGATAAATCCGTTTATCAGCTCCTTGATTACATCAATGATATCAAGGAATGCAGAATCAGTGATGCTTTCGTAAGCCAACCTGTATTAGTTATAAGTGTTTGCTGCTTTACTTCTGATGCTGTTGCCAATTTTCTCAGATGTACAAATGATGACAACTTTCGGCAATTACTTTTTAAACTTAGAAGATGTCTACATGTACAAGATGACATTGAAGTGTATGACATTATAGCAAGTTGCCGATCAAAAGATATAGAGACATCAAAAAAACGTCTATGTAGGTTCCTTTTCAATGCAGTGATTAAGGCCCGGTCACACGGGCGTACCGCGGCCAAATAACGGTAAAATATTTCTGCCCGTGAAGCAGACGCAGTAGGACGCTTTGAGGTTGCGATAAAGACGCGATACAGCCGTACTTTACCCGTTGTTACTCGCGGTAAGAAATTCACACGCGGTTGGCCGCGCGAAAAAGATTTGGGCTGCCCAAAAATTTAGACAGCGGGTAATCGCGGGCGGTACACGTGGTACACATGCGGTAAAGACGCGGTACAGACGATGAACGACGTGCTAGGACGTGCTACGGCCGCGGTAAAGACGTGGATACACGCGGTAGGACGCGAAATTTAAGCGGGTAATCGCGGGTGGAGCACGGTCATAGCACGTTTGTTCCGCGTCTGTACCGCGTGTAAGCACGGACAAACGCCTTTCTCCGCGTAAACAGCGTGCCCCAATACTGGCCTAATCACGTTCAATTGCGTCTTGTACACGTCCCAAATACGATTGTCCACGGTCTAATCTCGTCCGTACAACGTCTGATTTTAGGAATTTAAAAAGCGCGATTTGCCGAGCATTCGTCAGTTGTGCTCCAGACGTCAAGGGGTGAACATGGATCCCCGTCACCGTAACGACCTCCTCATCTTGCTGCTCAAGCAGCATCAGAACCAAGTGGTACATGTCCATCAGCTCCTCATTGACAGAAGAAGACGAAGGGGGAGGATGGTGGTGGTCCGGAACATCTGGGTGCGCGACTGGATTGGCAGGAGACCTGAGCTGGGACTGTACGATCGTCTCATGGTGGAGCTCCGTAATGAAGACCCAATGGCCTTTCAGAACTATATGAGAATGTCACCTGCCATGTTCAATGAAATTGTGCAGAAACTGACACCAGCCCTTACCAAGGAGACCACCAACTGGCGAGCACCCCTTGATCCAGGCCTGAAGGTTGTCCTCACCCTGAGGCACCTTGCTTCTGGCGCCAAGTACCGTGAGATGCAGTATGGCTGGAGGGTCCCTCACAACACCATCAGTCTGGTGTTGCATGAAGTGTGTGCGGCCATCGTCGAGGAGTTCCGTGATGAGCTGCTCGCGCCACCACAGACTGCTGCAAATTGACGTCAGATTAGTGACAATTGGATGAACAGTTGGAACTTTCCGCATGTCAATGGTGCAATAGACGGCAAGCACATTGTCTGTAAATCTCCCGCCAACACTGGGTCTGACTACTTCAACTACAAGAAGTTTCTTCAGTGTCATCCTCCTGGCAGTCGTCACATCTGACTACAAGTTACTCTGGATAGACGTCAGCGGCAAGGGGTCTTCGTCTGATGCCCACATCTACAATGCAAGTGATTTCAGAGAGGGTCTTCAGAACAGCCCGGTTCGGCTGCTTTATAATACCCGTGGTAGGCCGCGGTACCGCCACGCTTTACCCGCGATAAGGACGCAGAACAGTCGCCGGCGTCTGTTCCGTGGGCATACCACGGGTAAACTGCGGGTAAGTCAATTTTGCACATTTTCCACCACGGGCAACCGCGGGCAAAAAGAAATCGCGATACAGACGCGAAAGGCTGTGTGACCGGGCCTTTAGTGAATTTTAGCTAAAAAATCAAATATTATTGTTGTAATGTATATGTTGAGACTAGTACTTTTCTATGTTGACATACACGGCATGTTAAGTTTTCATCAATCAATAATAAGACGCTATGCTTTTTTTTGTTTGTGGGTGTGGGTGTGTTTTTGTGGTTGTTGTTGTTGTTGTTTTACGCTCTCCTGAGCACAAAGTGCTCATGGTGAGCTTTTGTGATAACAATTAATCAGGCGTCAATGTTTCCTTGCGTCCGTAAGTCAGTCCGGATGCTCCTTCTTTGAAGCTTTACTAAAATGTTCAAATGGTTCTGCTACATTGAACATTTGGGTCAGAAGAGCTAAATATTGATTTTAAAAATGATATCTTTAAAAGCCTTCTCTGAAAGTACATTACCTGGAGCCAAGTCGTTTTGTTTGAAGTATCATGAAATAAAACTCTACAAAAGTTCTTACTCTATATATCCTTGGTTAAATTGGCCTTGTCCAAGGGTGTCATAACATTTCCTTTTATATACTACCCTTTGAAAACTATGAAGGATATATCTTAGATATCTAGCATGAAAACAGATATCTGCAAAAAATAATAAAGCCCTTGTGTCAAAATTGGCCTGCCGGACAGGTCATCCATATTCCTTATATGTATATATTATTAACGTTTTTTTTTTTCAAATTATAGCCCTTGGGCCTAGACAATTTCAATCCTGGAGTGTTTGTGAATTTTCCTTGAATGTTTAATGATAGACAAAAAGTACGAAATTCCTCTTTTCTATAATCATGAAGGCTAAAGCTTAGATATTAAGCATGAAACATTGTCTAGTGTCCGTACCTCTACCTTTCGTTTTAGAATTATAGCCTGGAGTCTGAATTGATTTCATTCAAGAGATGGCGTACATTGAATTCCCTTGTATGTGTTTACATAACGACGTTAAACAGTCTTCTTCTCAAAAACCATTAAGACTTAAGGAAAGATATTAAGCCCTAAGAATTTTGAACAGGACCTTTACCAAGATTGTTTAAATTTTAGCCATGTTGTCTTAATTGCCCTGCTTAAGCGGTTATAAATTTTCCCTGTATCTATGGAATAAAAATTTCAAAAATATGTTTCTCATAAGCCATGAAGACTGAATCTGATGTATATTTCGAACAAGATATTGTCTTCTTGACGTCTTTAAGTTGTTTAAATTATTGCTCTGCGGTCTAATTCGGTCCCACCCTGGAAGTCATTGATTTTGTATATAGTTAGAATGTAAACGTAAACGTTTGGACTACATAGACAAATATTAGAATTTGACATTTGTTTAGCTACTTTTTGTAAACAGAGATAAAGGTATGAAATTTGAAAATATGAATTGAACTTTTACCTTGATTTCTATTTTGATCAAGCGACCTATTTCAAGAAAAACAGAGCTAAAGCTATAGAAATTGGATAAGATGCAGAATTGAAATTTAATATATAATTTGACCAATTGACCTTTTTAATATTTAGAGCTGCATCATTAAAAATTGGACTACTTCAAAAGATTCAGAGACATATTTAAAATTGGATGTCAATTGCCCTTGAATTAGACCCAGCGACCTACTGTTTGTTATAAGTGCTTTGTATATGAATTTTCTATCAAATGCGAAGATTAAGATGCAATTAGAACTTTGATATCAGTATAACTCAATTTTGGTCTTTCATTCATAGTTATCATGATCATAAGTCTTCTGTTATTCAGACCCTTAATACTCAGGTGAGCGATATAGGGCCACATGAACCTCTTGGGACTGCATCTAATTGATCCAAGGACTAAAGCTTATTAACGTGATCTGTTGTTGTTGATTTTTGTTGTTTTTTTTTTAATTGGGGGAGGGGTGAGTATTTTGTTGTTGTTTTGTTGTGGTTGTTATTGTTGCTGTTTGTCGATTTTTTATTGCTTTGCATTCTTCGAAGACAACCAGTACCTGTAATTTGTGGGGTTTTTTCATAGATGATGATCATTAATTACATAGTACAATCTGTTAAATTATTAACCTCTCTGAATTCCTTCAAATTAATATCTCTTATGATTAATAAGGGAATTTTATCTCTTTTGCAGGTCATCTTTACCTTTTCGAGGCAACCATTCTAAGGCACCCTCGCGAAAAAAAAATAAGTTCCTCTTAATCGTTATAGCGAATACCCCTCATTTCCGTGCTCGCTGTTCGATATTTATTTGTCATTTAGCTTCCAATAGTCCAGGTGTTTTTCTACGGACTGCCTTAGTTAGTGTTATCTCAATATACTCCTCATAGTATTTCCAAGCAATTGTTTTTCCAAACTCAACTTTGTCACTTGTAAGATTTCCACGTCTATCGTGGGAAATAAAAATTAACAATTCAAGTAGATTGTAGATTTATGGACAGTAGATTGGCCACTTCCAAACGACTTTCATCTTAAGCAGGCGTGAAAAGATCTTGAAGGAAATATTTTATTTTCCAAACGATTATGCATAATATAATGAATTCACCTTACACTTATTACAACTAATAAGCCATTTCTTCGGACGTTATTCTTCGATCAGATTCAAACATTTTTTAAATGTAGACAAAACCGGATTGGTTTTATTTCTTATTCAACGCCATTCTATGTAGGGGACTTCGGATAATAAGAAGTTGAATAGAGAAAACAATGGCTGTAATTCCGTTTCCTTCGGAAAAAAGTACCATGTGACCAGATTTTTGTTGTTAGAAAGTTTTGTCGCCTATGTATCAGTAATAACAAAATGCTCTGTGATAAACTGCGTATACAGTAAAAAATAGCCTGCATTTAACATTTTAAAACAAAACGATGAGTAATACTACACCCTCGGAAGTCCATATTCCGATGTCATAGGCAAACAGATCCATAAAGATGCAAAGGAAACTAGGATAATCACATTATCTGTTAGCAACACGTCCGTTATTACTGTCCTTGACATCGATGACGTCACAGAGCAGGTGCAATGACATTTGAAGCGAAGCAAAAACATTTGCAACTTCATGTGGAGGCTTATGGTTTACAGACAGTCCTTCCACATACATTGAAAAACACTTGTGGCTTATCAGTTATGCTATGTTTCTCTAACGTACACTTTAGGTTGTTAAAGTAGTCAGAAACAAAACTTTCCGAGGTCATCTTTGCTATCACATACTCAAGAGACCTAGGTTAAAGAACCAATATGTCAGACCACCTGGAAAGAAATCCTCTTATCTATGTCATTGTCAATAGACTTCTCTTGAGCGCGTACCAACACTCCTCCATAGTCACTTGCTTTGTCAACACACTCCTGCCTAGAATACTCATACCAAAACTTGTCATGCTCTTAAAATGTTCCATAAATTTGACTTCCCCATACTCAGTTTAAAATATGCAATTTTCGAATTGTATCGCATGTAACCCTAAAGATTTTTTACCTGGGGTCGTGAAACTTTACAAGAATGTTGTTCAGCATGTGAAGTTGATCACCTGGGGTTTTGTTTGTTTATTTATTCGGTTTTGTCAGAGTTATTGCCCTTGAATTAGTAAAAATATGCAATTTTTAATTTGTGTTATGCGTAGCTCAAAAAATATTTGACCTAGAGTCATGAAAATGTTCAAGATTTGTTGTTTAGCATGTAAAGTTGTAAACCTGATGTTTCGCTTGATGAATTTTTTGCCAGTGTTATTGCCCCTGACTCAGTAAAAATTTGCAATTTTCAATTTGTGTCGTGTTTTGCTTAAAGGTATTAGACTTAGAGTCATGAAACTTTATAGGGATGTCGGTCAAAATGTATGTTTGTGTAGATTATTTCAGTATTTGTAATAATATTTTCCCTTGACATAGTAAAATATGCAATTTTTCCAATTGTGTTGTGTTTAGCTCACAAATTTTATAAACCAGAGTCATTGAACTTTAGAGAAATGTTGATCGGCATGTGTAGTTCTACATTTCTTGTTTTGCATTTTGATTTTTTAGTTTTATGAGAGCTATTTGACTTAAAATTAATTTTCAAGTTTCAACTTGTCCATGCATAGCTTAACAAGTATTTGACCTGTAATCCTGAAAGTTTTCAAGAATGTTGTTCAACATGTTATGCACCTTGGGATTTTCTTGTGCATTCTGTAGTCTTTTATATACTAGTGTTTGTGTCATTTCTTTTATGTTCAATTGTTATTGATGGTTAAACAAAATCATTCCCATCTGTAGTACGAATAACACTTAAATTGAGAAAAATGAATTTATAATGTAGTTCACATATGCGATTGATGTTAAGATTATAAGTTTTATGAATTACATTATTATTCCGTACATGTACCAATGGTAATGCTAATCAATTATACTTTTGAACATACAGCATTCTGACAAACTGTACCTGCGTTCATGTTACATTTAACTTATATACTAATTGATTTTATTTTTCTTATCAATTCTCAATTATTAGCTCAATATAGATTATAATATGAAGTAGATATTTTCAATATACAAACATACATTTTTAAAATGCATTCAATCTATTTATAGACTTCACTGACCTACCCGGCAATCTAAACTGTGTTAAGCATCAAGACAGACAATGCACGCTGTATTGTCCTGACCATGACACCTTTTTCTGTACAGAATGCAGGGAATCAAATCATGGGTAATTATTCACTTCTTACAATCAGTAATTTATCAAAAATGGGTTGATTTGAACAAAAGATATCACATTAAACAGACAAATATGAAAATGCATTGTGCTAAGCATCAAACTGTACAATGTACTCTGTATTGTCCTGACCATAATACGTTTTTCTGCACAGCATGCAGGGAATCAAATCATGGGTAATTAAACCATTTCTAAAAAAAATGCTTTTCATCGGACCAAAAATCATTTTTTTAAAGGATTTATATGTTCTAAAGAATGTATAGGTCATATCATGCGGCGGTGGTGGTGGTAGTGGCGGTGGCTTACCCGTTAAGCCATAAGCCACCCAGAATGTACCTGATATTTTAGATAAACTTGTTGCCCATTTCACAAAACTGAAACATTCAAAAAATAATACCGGTAAATGTTCTTTGTTGCTTGTTCATTAAAAACAAGATTTATGACTTACCATCATAGAAATTTATAACAAAGATCGTAGTCTAGTATTTATTTGTCATTACCATAAAGGTTGGGGACATTGGTTCAAGTGAAAAGGGATCAACGTTTTTATTTTAATTAGGTTTAATATTAAAATGACCTATTTTGTTTGTCATTGGACATTCCAATCCTGGAATCGGTGATACTTTTACTTTCTAAAATATAATATTTCTAAACGTTCAGAAGTTTTATATAACGGAAAATATAGACATGCACTGCTAAATTAACCTGAATATATGGATGCAAACTCGTCATCAATGTGATAAATTATAGAACTATATAAATAATATAATATAAAAACATTGTAACTGATTAAAATATCATTTACATTTTATAGCTCATGTCATGGAATAACACGTATATCTGATAAGCCTCTTTACAATGAAGTACAGCGACGTCTTGTCCTGAAAAGTGAAAAGGGAAAGTATAATGTGAAGATAGAAAATATTTCGCGGGACATGTACAGACATGACAGAAACGATTGTTTTCCGACCAGCATATGCATTCTTCCCAATGAAGAACTTCTCCTTGCTGATGCCTGGAACAAAAAATTAAAAAAGTTGAACAGTTCCTATAAGATAATAAGTTATCGTGATCTGCCTTACGATCCTATCTCCGTTTGTTATATAGGACACAATACAGCTGTCATTGGATTAACTGACAATTATGTACAATACGTGGATGTGTCGGGTGACTTAAAACTAATACAACTGGTGAATATTGATCATGAATGTCTCAGTCTTACATGTCATGATGACACGATATATATCAATACTGCAAATACTTTATATGCATATAACAAAAACCTTCGTAATAAATACGCTCTTTGCCATCATAATGAAGGCTTGGAACAACATTACAAATATCCAGTTGCTGTAAGTAACGATGGTGAGAGAATTTACATATGCACACAAACAAGTATAAATACCGTAAATAACGAAGGACATCGTAAGGGTATTTTAAAATCAGACAGCTTAAATATTCCTAATGTATGTGTTGATGGTGAAGGCTCTGTTCTTGTACATGATGGATTATCTGGCTCTATTTATCAGGTTGATTACAATGGTGAAAAAATCCTTGGAACAGTAGGGAACCTTTCTGATCAAAGTGCAGAATCGTTCTGTTTCGATAAAGAAAACTGTAGAATGATAGTTGGTTCTTTAGGAAACAATATATATGTATATCAATGTGAGTATTTGCCAACTTGGAGACGAGGAGTAAAGAAAACATAAATGTAATTTGAACTTTAAAACGAGTTCCTTTGCTTTTATCAGTTTTAGATGAATTTGCCTATTCATGACTTATGTCATTATATTTAATGAATACATAATTTATGTATTCCACTTACTGTATGATCTAAGATATTTGAAAATGCAAAGTGTAATTTTTAAAATTTGAGTTATTTCTAATTCGAATAGAATTATTATTAAAGTTAAGATATTTTGTTAAAGGACTCGTTTAGAAATTTTCCAAGTGTATTGAAAATTGTTCTATATATGAACACATTATACGATTATTTATTATTTACGATTTTTTTTTCAATGAAATTATTTGAAAGAAAACACGAGAAAAACCACTTTTTATGTAGAAAACCAAACAAAATCCAAAACATAGTTATGAAGTTTTTTCACGTATGGTAATTAGTTTGGTTTCGAGCATGCGCATATGTATGTATTTTTATGCGTATGCTTGTTTGTCTCTTTGTATATAATTTTTGTTGTTGTTTTTTTTTTTTACTTTTCTACAGATTTATTAAACATGATCGCTAATGTCAGGCACTGTTTATCACTTAATGTCCCTGCCACGAGAATTCTTAGGGTAGAAATCTTCCTTACTTGTCATACAAACCGTGCGACCCATCATTAAAATCTATTTACGCTATCAAAATAGCACACATATACTATACTTAAAATGATTAGAGACTGACAGTTATTTTTGACACTTGAAACACAATAACATATATGACAAAACCTACTTCTCACAGCAAAGTAGATTAAGAAGTCATCAAGTCTGACCATGATTTTAAAATTTTTGACTTCAATAATAATAATAATACAGACACTCTAGCGTTGCTAGTTTACCAAATTTATCTTATGTTTTCAAAAGCTTCGTTAAAACATCCATGATTTTCTTAGTTTTTCTTCAGTTATGTATCACAATGTGTTGTTTTGTAGAAATATTTCATGTTTATATGTCTTATTTGACATAAATACTTGTAGTTTTTGTTGATGGCAGTGTTCATTTTTAGCTGTTCCTTAGAGTTAGCTTTTAAGTAAGGCATATGTACTATTTTAGAAAAAAATGCTAGCCTCTGTATTTCTTATCTCTCTTTTTTTTAAATTAAATAAAATTAAGCTCAAATGCAGTTTGTTTTGCATATCTAATATATTTTTTTTCTTATGAGGCCACAATTTTGTTAAAACAATAAAGCACGGTTGTAGAATTTAAAAAAAGGAGTCATCAACTAGAACTTGTTGGATTTTGATCTAAGCAGGCTGTAGTAAGATATGTTCAGTTTAACGCTGATATAAAAGTGATAAACATCTTTGTTATGCCTACACATAGCAAAAATATTAAACAATGTTTCACAAATTAGAAATTACCAACTACAAACGATTGATTCGCAAAAAAATCATGAATGGTATCAAGAATGATATTATCATCGTTTTCGAAAAAAATGTAAAATTCAGATGAAAACAAGATTGTTGTCACCATAACAATACTTTTAAAGTTCTACAATAAGATTTGAAAATGAACTTTATTTAAAGTGTTTCATTTTATAGATTTTAAAAAAATAATGTTACAAATCTGCATAGTATTCTCTTTTCAAAACCCTCTTCCAAGTTCTTGTTCTATATCTCTATATGTCTTTGGAGATAACATAAAACACTGTTTAATATTTGAAAACATAAAATTACGACAATTCATCATTACCATAAGTGTTCTTGTAATAAATTATTAGCATTTTTATTGAGTTATTTGTAGCAAACACACAGAATTTTTATGTCGCTTCACGTTTAAGTAATAAAGGAGATTAGAATAGATATTGATTAAATCGTACAATATGTCATTTGTAGAATCGTTTTATTTCATTTTAACTGATACTGTAAATATCAAAAATAACCATTAAAATTATACGCACGATTTATTCCTTCACGAGGTCTGTTATTCGGCAATATTTACCAGAAAAACACAAAACTATTTCTTTTTATTTAAAGGAAAGTATACAGCCAGAAAATAAAGCAACACAGTTCCATGATATTTTCACTTGATCTAATGTGTTGAACACAGAGATAAGGCTCCAACATAAGAGTTTAACAGATATGTAGTATTGTCTGTATTTTAATAAACTAACGGCAAACACCACATATTAATTAAAGACAGTAAATAAGTGTAGTGCTAAACATTAAGTAAGATGATGAGGGGGAATTCATGAATAATAAGTTATACGACTATACTATACCCCTAGCAGAGCTTTTCAAAATGTGTCTTCTTACGTCTATAAGGCCCTGTCACACTAGACCGCGCTTTCACAGCGTTTGCCTGGCGTTGTTAAATTTAAAAAGCGCCGCGAAATCGCAATAAAAATTTGATATTTTTGATGACATGGAAACTTCACACGTCTTTGCAGCGTCCTCACGGAAATCATGGCGATGCTACGGAGCTTCAATAGCGTTTCAATAGGCGATTTTTCTGCGTTCGGAATGAGCTTCTACTGCGTTCTTTGCGCTTCTACTGCGCTTTTACGGCGCTTTCACTGAGCTGATATCGAAAAGTTCCGTAAAAGCGCGGCAGAGACGCCGCACAATCTCCGTTCAAGCGCCGTGGATAAACATCGCGTTCATTATGCGTTCCTTCTACGCTTTCACAGCGCTCCTGTTGAATTGTAGGAGCTAGCTGGTACGGCAGTGACGGCGTTTGTTTTGAGCATGCGTAAATGCGCGCTGTCGGTCGGCATTCTATGCGATGCACTACGATGCTGTGGCGTTGCTGCGGCGATGTTTGCAACCTTACTTCGCTCACCTCGGCGTTCTGAATTTTCTTTGGACGCCGTGAGAACGCCACCCTACCTCCACTTTGAAAAAAATTCAAATAGGTTAAAATCACCTGTCAACAACATTGAACTTGAGGGGCGTGGATTCAAACCCCAGAAAGGACAACTTTTTTCTCTCTCTTTTTCTTTTTAACATTATTTATGTATCTCTCAGATTCCTTGTGGAAGAAAAAAGTGTTTGATTTTAATTGTATAATTATTGTGTGTATTTATTTGCTAAGTAATGCCAAATTTAACAGCAAATATGATGCCAGACATTTTCGAAAGTTTAATAAAATGAAACTACACGGTAAAAGTATTTTATATTTTGCATGATCAACTAATTTACTTTAAAAAAAATGGGCATACTTTTAAACGCCCCTTATAGTGGTAGATTTAAGGGATATGTTGAATAATGCTTTTTATATAGGGAAATTGTCAAATAAGTGTTAAAACTGGGCGGGGTAGGGTAACATGTTTATACATATGAAAATCATTTTGTTTTGAAATAATCGTTTTGCTCGTGTAATTTGTTATTTGAATTTTTTTATTTGTTTCTTAACAATGAGCAATAGGAAAACATTTTTCAGAATGATGATATTATAGATTATTTCGAGTTTCCTAATTTCTGAAAAAAGCCCTTCTAATAGCAAAGTTTAAGTTCAGAAATATATCCATAACTCCCATAAACCACACAGTAAATTTTATTTAAATTTTGCCTACAGGTGACCTATAAGATATTTAACTGTCCTATGTTGTCAATTTTACAGTACCTCATAGTGCTCATTTCCCATGGTTTACCTTAAGGAGACACTTTTAAATAACTCTTATTAGTGCAGCTGAAATTCACGATGTCCTGTCTTGGCCAGTTAAAAGACACATATTGACATGCAAGATTTTTTGTAAAGTCTTGTGTCTACCTTTCGTATTTTTTATTGATAAAGTAGCGAGATTTTAAATTCTCGAACGAAACCTTTTGTGCTATTCAAAGTGGTATTTCTCGCATGCTTAACTTAATCTTTTTGAGCAATAAAATGTAAAAATAAAAATCCCGATAATTAACCTTAACTTTCGCATTTTTCTCAAGGGAACTGTAGCTTCTTTACAGAACAAGTGACTATTGTAAATGAAAAGTTCTTTTAAAGAGAATTGTATATCTTGTCACGTATATATTAACGAAGCAGTGTTCTCAACTATTTTCAATGCTTGATAGTAAATAAAACGAGTGCCTGGATAATGCAAAATTATAAGTATAAAAAGGACCATAGTTTTGTCAAAAACTCCCATTAGTGAAATTAAACCTTGGAAAGTGACCTCCTATTATGCTCTCAAATAAGCTAGTGCGTTAAGTTTCAACCCATTGTCTTAAGTAGTGATGGATATACTAACTTGCACGCAAAACGTAACTAAAATGTGACGCCAACGCTAACACCTGGGTAAATACAATTGCTTCCCTATTTTTCAATAGTCGAGCTTAAGCAAGATTTGTTCAATCTTAAATCTTATCTGGTGATATTTAAAGTGCCTCAAACAGGACACCATAGAAACAGACGGAAATCTTACCAAAGTTGAGGTCGATTTTCCGTTACCGATATAACATGGAAGAAAACATGTAAGCGTTTGTTTCGATGGTGATAGACATAATAGATTTTCGTAAAATATATATTTTTATTGAAGGCAGCCAATTCCAAGGCGGTATACCGTTCCCCGGATATTGCTCGATATTATTTCGCGACCTTTAAAGGGGAACGGAGGTAAGTTCAGCGACAATATTTTCCAAACTGATGGTTATTTTATGTATTTCAATGAGTTTCATATATCTAGAGGTATTTTGTAGCTCTCTAAGACATCAAAGTATAACAGGTATTTGTAAAATTGATTAAACTTCCCCTAAACGATCGGCTGCTCACTAGAAAATACTGACCGCGGTACTGTAGAATCGTTAGAAATTATTACATTGCCAAGATAAAAAAAAATGAATCTAGCATTTTTTATTCATAATCCAAGTATGCTTAGTGCAAATTTCAGGCAAAAGGTGTTTAAGTACAAAAAGTTACATGTCAGAAAAGATACGAGAAAGTGTAAGAGTATTGATTTTTAGTGGACAGAGTATTGCACAATAACTCAATTTTAATGTACAGAGTATTACAAAAATTAGAATGGAAAATCGATATTTTTGTCTAATTTGTACGGCTGTCTGTCGATGTCATTTTATTTTACTAATAATGTACTGTTTATGATATTCATTACAATATTTTAGATTTAACAATGCATTTTCAGTGTTATAAATGTTCATTGCTTACGGACAAAATTAATACAGAGGTTTAATTTCCCATTTGATTGAAAATCACACAATCAATGAAATAAAGTTTAAGCGTGTCAATGAGGATGGCGTTAAAGTGTGTGCTTATAAGATAACGCCTGAACTTTGTCGGGAACAGGGTAGAACAACATTAACGATCAAAATCTTTAAATATATGTCTCAAGAAACTGTGATCAGGGAGACTCATCTCTAAAAAGAAGAAGAACAACATATTTAGATGACATTTATTATAGGTTTTTACAGGGCAAATGTGCCTTAAGAAGACTCCGAGACGTGTACCGGAAGCGCTCAAATCCAGATTAAAGCTAGAGCTTGAGCAAATGGTCAAAGACGAAATTTTAACCACAGTGACTGAACCTACAGACTGGGTACACACCTAGACCTAAAACAGCTAAATGACGCAATACGTAGACCTCATTTTGTCACACCATTACTTGATGACGTAACAGCAAAGCTCCCTGGAGCTAAATACTTTAGCATGTTAGATCTATAGACAAACAATCGTCTTACGTCACAACATTCGCAACTTCTTTCGGTAGATACAGGTACATAAGGTTATCATACGGTATATCATCATCAAGTGATATATTTTGTCAAAAGTTCAATCAGATATTCGAAGGAATAAACGGAATACACCCTCTTGTTGGTGATATTTTAATATGGGGAAGCACTCACGGTGAACATGACAAACGTCTAACACAGGTCTTATTACGCGTGCACGCACAAGGTATCATATTTAATGTACAAAAATGAACCATTTGCGCCAAATCGATACCATTTTTTGGTCATATCACCACAGAAAGTGGTTTAAAAGCTGATCCGTCTAAGATCGAAGCAATCATGAAATTGCCGATCGCTGATAACCGCGAAAAGGTCGAAAGGCTCTTGGGAATGGTCTATTATCTTTCTTAATTCGCACCGAACCTAATAGAAGTTACACTCCCCTTACAGAGCCTCTTGAAAAAAATATACAGAGTGTTCATGACCGAGCATTTTCTCAGGTCAAAGATTTAACAAAAGCACCAGTACTCGGTTACTATCACCCGGCAAATCCGCTAATACTGGAAACGGACGCTTCGGAATTCGGAGTTGCTTGTTGGTCTATTTCAAGACACCTATCGCATTCGCAAGCAA